TGCCAATAGTTTAATTTCATGTTAATGTTCATGTTTTTGTAGATTTTTTTAAAAAAAACTGTACTGTGTTTTTTTAGATTGTAAACCACCTTGAGTCCCAGGTTATAGGAGAAAAGCAAGTTATAAATAAACTCTATGATTCTATGAAATATAATCATGATTATCATCATCATGCATTTCCTGTTACTACATTGCTTGTTTGTCCCTGCTTTACTGTTTCCCTCCTGGTATTCAACAAATGACAACACTGTTACATGAAAAAGTCTGGCAATAGAAAATAGTTTATATTATCTGAGCGCATGCATGTTCTGAGACATGACAGAGTGAGATGAGACATAGCAAAATTTGAGGAAATGGCATTTGAGGATAGCCTTTAATGAGACTCTGAACAATTTTGAGAGTGCCTCAAGACAGACAAAAGTTATTGCTATCAATCAAAAGTCAATGTACAACACTTTTCTCTTTCCCTCCTTAACATATTTACCATGGAAATAAAAATGAGTGAAGAAGCAGTGAGGAAAGCCTGCAAGTGTTATAGGTGGAAATCAACTCTTTTGGAATTCCCTCTTCACCCAGTTCACAAATTGCAAAATAGTGTAATTATGCAATACAAATCTCATCTAGAAGCACACCAGCAGGATCTGTACTATACCATTTTAACCGTTGTAGCTCTATTTTTTGGAATCCCAGAATGTGTAAGTTTAGTAAGGTACTTGAGATTCATGGTTCTGGTGCTATAACGAAGGGATCACTATTGCTTTCTGCCTGAGAATTCTAATACTTTCCCGCCAGACTGCAAATCTTAGGATTCAATGGAATGGAGCTGTAACAGTTAAAGTGGTACAACTGTAACTAGAAGACACCCTCTGAAATTTTTGAAAAGATATGACTCTACTATCTGTTACTATTCCACTACTACTACTGCTACTATAGTATTTGGCATTTGACACAAACTGTCAAGGATGCATCATATATTAAATCTAGGAGACATCATTGATGACACAATCCCTACCGTGGGATGACTCAGAGCTCAACAAATAAACTCTGGAATGATTTTACTGCTTTGATAGTGGGTAGTGTGTTATATATGCAGGTATGTGGACTTTACATATTGAGGTATGACTGTTACCTTCCCAGTGTGTTGGGGGGAGGGTCTGTATGAGGAAATATATTCAGCCCTCAACTTTCATGGGGGTTGGGGCATGCCCCCCTGACAAAATGGAAAAAAATATTAATATTAGCCTGCTTTTTTTTTAACCTGAGAGAACACTTCTCTATGCATCTGTAATTCCTCCAGTGCTCTTCTATGGTCAGCTTCCACCAGAAGTTGACCATAGACTTGTGCTGGAAGACCTACAAATGCCTTGAGAGAACATTTCTTTTTAGTGACAGGGGCAAATACAGTAATATGCAACTAATCAAATCTGTGTTTGTTTAACCTGCAAATATGGAGGGGTGGCTGTATATGAACTTGAATGCATTCCAAGAGTCTGTACTCCAAGGCATAGGTTCAAGGCTATGATCTCTTTCAGTTGAATGTCCATGTGATCTTGGTATTCTGCAGTTAGGCAGGAGAACTAAAGAAGGCACTCTGCTGCAGAGGGTAGGAAGAGGAGTGTAGTGTAGAATAAAAAATGATGGAGTAGGACAGAGGAGACCAAAACTCAAATCTCTGCTCAGGTCCAGAACACACTGCAGAAATAATCCCATTTGAGACTGTTTTAACTGCCTAGGTTTAGTGCTAGGGAATCCTGGAAATGGTAGTTTATTGTGGTACCAGAACTCTCTGACAGAGAAGGCTCCCAGAATACCCTAGCATTGAGCTAAAGGCAGTTAAAGTGGTGTCAAAATGGATTGTTTCTGCAGTTATTTAGGACCTCACTTATGAAATTCACTGAAACTGGGCCAGTCACTAACTCTCAATCTACCCTACCTCACAAGGTTGTTGCGAGGATGAAACAGAGAAGAAGAACATGTATACCATATTGTTTCTTTGGAGGCAAGATGAGCTATAAAGCAAATAAATATATCAAAACATAGACAGAAATCAAGTTTTTCTTATTATATGTTCTGTGGCTTTTGTTTTATGTGTACTTTATAAGAATGATATTAAAGCTTTGTCTAATCTTAATTCAAATGATATTGTTGTAAACTGTTGCTGTAAACATTTACTTCTTTAAAAGCTTTTCCGTACTTCTTTAAAAGCTCTATATACTAGTGAGTCTTTCAGAACTTGTTGATTCATGGCAGAATCTAAGCAATCTGCACATTACCAGATCCCAGCACATCTTCCTTCTACAGCTTATTTATGAAGAGCTGCAGCTGTTATCCTCAACTGAACTACATCAAGATGTTTGCACTGTCTGCAGGTTTCAAAGACATATACTATTTGTAAAACATGTCTAACATTTTCTTTAAAATAAATAAAATGAAACATCGGTGACTGACACACACTTCTTCCTACACACTTCCCAACACCTTGAAGTGGAAAGCTAAAGTAAAGGCTGAAAAGTGATTACACTTTGGCACAGTTCCCAGTAATGTGGGAATGCTGTTACATAAAATGGGCTCCTCAAAGTAGCTGTGTTTCTGCATAAAAAGGAAGAATGGAGGGAGAAGGGGGAGGGAATGCAACAGCACCTTTAAGACTAACTGGTTTTTATTTTCACATGTTTCATGGATATAAACCCACTTCTTTGGATGCAGTGCAGTCTATTTCCCACCACCACCACCTTTCCTCCCCCTTCCTCTTTTTCATAAAAGGGATTGTTCCTCCTATGTTGAGAAAACACCTAACGGTTGTCAAATATTTGCCTGTGGAACTCACCAAATTCATTAAATCTATCATTGTCTGCAAGTTTGTGTAAACTCTGCACAGTCTTCACCAAATCTTGCTGCTCCAGATTATTTCTTCCCAAACAATTCTTTGTATTAGACACAGTAGCTAAAAAAATGTATTTTATCTGGCTGGCTTTGTAGTGCTAGAATCCTTGAGAAGTTCATTGACAAAGCCTTGCCTTTCTTTCCCTGCCAACTTCCCCTAAAGCAACTTGATCTCAGGCAGAACATGGAGCTGCTCAGCTGAAACTAGTAAAAAGATACACAGAAAACCTCTTACCACTTGGGCAGTTTCTATGTCAAATTCTCTTTGGAAGAGGAGGGGGAAGAAGCAGCTGGGGAGGGGGATTAAAGTACTTTCTCACAGATATGGCTGATGAGTAGGGAGTTTAAAAGGGTCTATTCATGAAAAAGGGGTGATGGCATAGAATACACACAGGCAAATTCCAAAGGCTGGTCTGCTCCGCTTCATAATATTATTAGGAGAAACATTACAGAGCTTTGGTAACAATACCATCCAGTCTCTGAGGGTTATTTTCCCCCTCTCTCCTGGTGCGGATTAATCATTTGCTCTCTCTCTGATGTGTAATTTAGGGATAGGAAGCAAGTCAGGGCTGTCCACATGATCTTCTGAATCTAAATTCAAGGGGTTTTGTTTAATTTCTCTGCACCGTCCTTCCTGGATTGACTGCCTATCAATGAATTTGGAATTACACACCCAATCCTCACCATGAACTGGAAGGCAGCATCAGGATATTGTTGGGTGCTTTTCTTTTTCTTTCCCATTGCAGCCAAAGGTAAGAGATATGGGGCACTTGTATTGGGGGAGGACTGAAATTTGAAAGTATTATGGATGCAAGGGTTTTGTAACTTACTTTGCACAAAGTCTTCAAATGCCAAGCACTTATTACCATTCTGGGATGTTTAAAACAGTGCTTCCAAAGAGAGATAGCCTGAAAGGGCTCACATTCCCTTCTC